CGCTTGCCGGGACTGTCGATGAAAAGTCACAGCGGCTGGATAAGAGGTTTAAAATGTCTATCCAACGCGATGTCCTCCTCGATTCTACCGGTCTTCAGAGCGCGATGATTCTTGCGGATTGACTCGCTCGTCTTCTCGATCTCCCTCGCAATATTTTCACGCTCGCGCACATCTGCCATGTTTGTCCGTGGCTAAGTATCGACAACGACTGGTTACGTTACGGTTTCGCGAACTCGTTAAATCCTTTTCTGTTTCGTCCATTTGTGAGCACACTGTCTTTATCTATCACTACGAATCCATTTTTTTGTTGCCAACATTCGCGGCACAACACGTGTTTCAAGTTGGTACCATCCTGTTTGAACAGGATCAGCAGGTTCCCGTTGTCGCGTATCAGATTAGGTATCCTCGCGTACGTCTGACAGAGATAGAAGCAGTTCGACGTTCGCGTGGTAATCCATCGAAAAGTATTCTGTCACCGCATCCTGCTTGTCGCATGCCACGTCATCAAAGATAAAAATAGAATTTCGACGCGCCTCGCCGGTGGAACGACGTCGCTGTTATTAAAGAAAGCAAAGTTGCCGATTTCGTCGATAGACGTAAACAAATTTTCGAGATATTGATATTTTGGCTGTTGCAACGATTTCGAGTAGACGTACACGTTCTCGAAACGTACGCCGTTCGGACTCTCGAGTAAGCTTATGAGAACGTTGGTTTTACCGCAATTCGACGGGCCGCAAATCATCGCGCGTATAGTAGCATTTCGCCGTGCTTGCGCTTCTCCACGCCGCTTCCCATTATTCGCGATTTCGCGTCGCGTATCACCAGCGGTTGCAGCACGAATTTCATGGTCGCACTACGGGCTGTGCGCTTTCGACCGCCTATTTAAAGGCGCCCGAATCCGCGAGTCGCGCAGTAATATAATGTATCTCGCGCTGTGTCATCCTTCCGACATTCTGAATTTGAGCGATGAGCAGTTGCAGTATATACCAAAGGTCGTACTGTTACGAATGTACGGTAAGCCTATACGAAGTTAGATCCCCATTTTTTGAATTCATATATTTTGAGAATTGTGCTGAATTGTGTTAGGTTTGTGCTACATTGTGCTCGAATATTAATGTCAAGATACGAAAAATACGTTAAAAAATTAAAAAAAACCGTATTTTAGGTCAGCCCCCCACTTTGCGATTTTTTCAATTTTTAGGATTGTGCTAGGTTGTGCTAAGCTGTGCTAACATTATGCTAAAGTGGTATTTACAAATAACGACAACAACAGAAGATATGGCAAAAAACGATTTTTTACAATTCTGAATAAAAATAACGCTAACATTTGTATCCGTCATTTAAATACCACCAAATTGCATATCTGAGTTGTGCTAGTCCAACACAAATTAGCACAACCATTAGATTGGCTGCCACAACAATATTAAGGGTACTTTACTCTTGAGCGCGACCGTCCGCGAAAGCATTTTTTGTTCAAAATTCGGGTTTCTAAGAGCCCAGACACAAGCTTTTGCATAACGCATAACGCATAGTGCATAAGCGAATCAACTAATCAGAAGCTTTCCTTTCCTCTCATTTCATGGAAAAGAAGAATTTCGATTGGTTGATTCCATTATGCACTATGTATTATGCGTTATGCAAAAGCTTGTGTCTGGGCCCTAACGCTTCGATGTGATTAATATTGCATATCTGAGTTGTGCTAGCATAGCACAAGTCAGCAAAAACGTTAGATTCGCTGGCACAACGATATTAAGGGTATTTTATTCTTGAGCGCGATTGCTCGCGTAAGCATTTTTTGTCCAAAATTCGGGTTTATAATGCTTCGATGTGAATGATATTGCATATCTGAGTTGTGCTAGCCTAGCACAAGTCAGCACAACCGTTATATTCGCTGACACAACGATATTGAGGGTACTTTACTCATGAGCGCGACCGTCCGCGTAAGCATTTTTTGTCCAAAGTTAGGGTTTATAATGCTTCGATGCGAATGATATTGCATATCTGAGTTGTGCTAGCCTAGCACAAGTCAGCACAACTCTCAGTGTCGTCTGCACAGCGATCTTAAGGGCACTTTACTCTTGCGAGTATCTCTCGTTGATCTACTTTTCTGTCAATTATTCGGTAAATTTGTAATGCTTGGTAAGATGCATACATGCTATGCACACACACACACGCGCGCGCGTGCGCACACACACATGTTATTCGCGCGCGCGCGTATGTATATATATGCATTAGAGTAACAGGTATATACGCCGCGCTGGAATTTACGCCGCGAAAGTCAGAAAAAATAGAAGGAGTAGGGGTAATTTTCTCGCAACTACTCTGTTACATGCCTTTATGTTATATTAGTATTGTAAATTGGAGTGCATGTATAACTATTAAATATATTTATATATATGTGTCTAATGGTGTTGTGATACATACGAGGTGTAATCAAAAAGTAAGGTGACTTTTTGAATTTCGCGCGCTCTGTACACTCTAATTTCAAAATTTTGTTGTTGTGTTGGTACACTCGTCA